GTTGCTGACCTCACAAATTATCTTGCAGGAGAATCGGACGAATCATCGCAATTCCAGAGGATGGTTGGCTCCTAGGAATAAAGTGAGTACAGTACATTTCCCTGAATTAGAGCTTTCTTGAAATGAAATAAATGTCCAGTGATAATGAGATAGTGGTAACATTACTGATGAACAAGCCAATGTTGTTTTTAGAAAACTCTCGCAAAATGTATTCAGAGAACTTAATTCGAGTATCTTTTTTGCTACTTTCGAATTCGGCGAACTATCGTTTCTTTTTTGTGATATTTGAAAAAGTTCTATATTTTCCTGAAGCAACGTTAAAATATTGGAAATGTTTGTGACATTATCTGAAAGATTTTCCAATGACGGCCATCATAGCAAATGATCAACAGTTAACAATTGCACACTAGTTTGACTAGATGGACAGAGTAGTTCCGAGACAGGTCCGGGCCACAATTTTTCGTCGCGATCTTGCTGAGCAACTGATACAGACATGACGGCTTAATAACTCTCGGGGTATTCTCGAGTCCTCGTACTATTCGTTAATTGGTTGTTCATTATTGAAAATCGGAAAATTTACGGGTGTGTCAACGAAGATTTGTCCGATTTGTTTCCGAAGATTTGCCTGTCTTAATGATATACTGGATGATATTATTACAAAACAGAAGCCTTTCATCTGGACAGCTGGGGTTGGCCTTAAAAACTACTGGTAATTAATTACAGTGTACTTTATTCTCCGTTGTTTTAGCTCCACTTCTGGAATCAGATATTGCAATGGAGGAGATCACGGTTATGACAACTTGGATGTTAACATGCGGGTAAGAAAAGTTTAATAAAACTCTACTTGATTCACTTTACTAACTTACAAGTTGTGAATTTTGTTTGTGTTGAAATACTGCCGCTTTCCGCGGTGAGCTTGATATAAATGGCAATATTTGTTTTTGTGGAAGTTGCTCCTGCTTTTGTTCCCGTTCACAGCACTGACTACTCATATGTTTTCCAAATATTAACATCAATGTAATGATAACACAGACATTTAGCAAAAACGTAGGTAAATTTACGGCATCAATCCGTCAACCATGAGCTCTATATAACGGAAAACAAAACTGATCTGAATAAGAGATCATCGTAGTTATACAGCCAATCTATACAGTTGCGAAAATAAGGCTTGATAACAAAATTTAGCTTCGAACAGGATTTGAACCGGTGCACTGCTCTACCAACTGAGGTATCAAGTCAACCGGGGCAGGGGC